CCTCCCCCCCCCCAAACAGAGAATTGACGTCATATTCACCATTTAGGAAATGTAGACATTTTCAACTCACTAGGACAAAAAAGCTCCGTGACAAGGTAACTAAAAGGCATTTGACAGAGTTAACCACGGAAATGAGAGCATTATTACTAGCAGGTTTTGGCCAGTTACTTGAGAAGGCCCTAATGATGGTAGCCTATCTGGTAGCCGAAAGGAATGTGAACACATTTTGATCGACATTGGGCATCAGAGATTATGAAGCAGATCAACTGGAAATTTGGATTTAGACAGTCTTTCCGCTGCCGCAGAGTGTCAAGACCAGTCGAGGGACTTTCGATCACCACATCATCAGCATAATTGCGCACGATGAATTCGGGAGGGATGGTTGGATGGAAAGATCAGTAGTGCACACAGAGAAGAGTGGAAACAAAACAGCATTTCCTCTATAGAGCAGAAAGGTTAGCCGTTACAAAAAAAGGGAATCGCGTCCTGAATAAGAAAGGGATCTGAGACACGTGGATTGCGAATGTCACGATCAAGTGTGATCCAAAAGTATTGGGATAATCAGGGAGAATTAACAGGACGATGCCGAACCCCTTATACAACGAGAATGAAACGGAATGAACAACGTGGGCAACTGCATCAAACTGGCGAGCATTATGAGCGTCAGACAAGGATGAATTTAGCAGCCTGTGCCTTGTAGACTTAAGCACATACAGAAGTAATACGGGAGAGATGCAATGGTCTTCTCCGGCAGATATAAACAACGGTCGTGTTGAGTTGGATACGGAAACATTCGCAAATTGAAGATTTAACTGTTGAACACACGGGGAGGACCTTTTGCGTGAGTTACAGAGTTGCTTCCGTACAAACCAGACAGTGTTTGTGTCCCATTTTTTTATCAACATACATCCCATTTAGGTGTTGTATTTGATTGAAACTAATAGATGTTTCATAATATTATGACTGCCAGTTCTTTAGGCCTTTTCTTTATCACGATGGAGCCATTTCGGAAGAGACAGAAAGAATCTGGCGGTACAAATGTATAAACTCTTAAATGGGCAACAGAGATCTCAGAAAAAAACTAGAAAAAATCCGGGTAACATGCTCAAAACTGGGAAAAACAGTGAAATCGGTAGAAGTAACCATATACCTAACTATAGCTAGGTTAGCAGGGGGACACTTTCTCCCTCTAGTCATTCTCGGGGCAAAGTCGTAAAATTCAGGATGTAAAAAAGAGCGATGCTCTGAGTCGCTTTTCGATGAAAAAGAGTTATGGGTTGTTTGCAGACATGACATCAAGCTGGGTCGGAGCATTTAAAAAATGTGACATACCTAAAGTTGTGGAGAAAGAGATGTTAGTACAGTTGAAATCACCGGCAGTAATTCACACAAACCTGATATAAACGGTGTGGAAAATATCGACAAACAAGCGAACATCAGAATCAAATGCGAATTAAATGTGAATGCTAGATAGAATCGCACGATGAAACTGACTGACAAAACGGAGAACAGTTATTCTTGGCAGTACTGAACTGAAAAAATAGATGAGTTTTTGCACTATTCTCTATTGCTCTAGTTAACCACTATACCACCTCCGATTGAAATGTTTACATTTCGATCAAATCGATAAACGTCACATTCATCAAGTCGAACGACGTCGTCAGAATGTATTCACCTATCTTAGGGTTATAATCGCATTCCGGATTTCCTCCTGATGCGCTATGATCGTGAATAAGCAAATGTTATTCGAAATAAAAGATGAGACGGTAATTTTGTCAAAAGAAACGGCACGTGACCACGATACGCCAAGTAGGACGATGTCGACTACTGTGTACTCGATCGCTTATCCTCAATCCTTGGAAGCGATTTCTTACAGACTAGGCAAAAATCAGAAATTGGTGAGAACGAGAGATAGAACACAAAGATTTCAAAAAAATGTTTGTAAGGCAACAGTTAACACTTCATCAAAACTGGTTTGTAAGTGAGTACAGAGCAAATGTTCGTGGTAACTTCGCGAAATAATATCGCTATCAGTCTGATCTGAGCATCTCTCCTCCGCACTGCTGAGGGCAAGATATGGAGGTTGTAGAATGGATGAGTTTCCTTTATGCGGATAGAACAAGAGCGAAGGCTCAGGTGGCTGACTGTGAACATACGGGCATCGTTCTATCGAAAAAATGAATGTCCGCCGACGGTTGATGGTGATCCATTAGGACAAGGGGGTTTTCACCTGAGGATCTGTCACCTTTCTTGTAAATCGGTATGATCACCGACTCACACCATTCAGCTGGAACCTGTTCCCTCTCCCACACTGAGCCCAGGAGTTTCGTTAAATCCGAAACCAATGCTAAACCTCCATCCTTAAAAATAGATGGGGAGTCCGCCTGGGCCTGGAGCTTTATGCCTTTTGAGATACCTCCATTTCAGATGGACGACTGGCAGAAATTGTGCAGTCGCGGTGGCCAGTGACAGTTCAGATGTCGATGGGGGTCAGTTGAACTGAGCCTCGAAATGTTCAGCCCAACGGTCAAGACGGCGTTGCGGATCGTGAATCAGTGTGCCATTGCATTCCACAATTACCTCACGCTTATTTTTCTAGGACCCGTATTCCTAATTAGACAGAAAAGATTGCGGCTGTTACCAATAGCCGCAGCCTTCTCCATCTCTCTACACTTTTCTACCCACTAATTCTCGCGGGCATTGCTCAGACTCTTCATGAGCTCGTGTTTGAGAGATTTGGGTGCTGTGTCATATGCGGCATCGGGAGGAAGGGTTCTACGGACGTCCAACAGAGCAGTCGAGGTCAATGATATCCATCGTTTATGTTTTGAGCCTGTGTGAGGGTCGGACATTGTTTTTATTGATATTTGCATAGCATAGTTGATCCAACGCTTTGGAGTAATCAAGAAAGATCCTTGTAGAATTCATCCTTGATTTCCGGTGTACTGCAATCGGTCGTTCTGTAGCTGTTGACTCGAACTGAACCGTTGAGACGTACAGCACACAATCGGCTACTGACTGCAATCCAGNAATCCAGTCAAGAAGCGAGCGCTCAGCCTTGGCACTTAGCGCAATCCCGACACCAGCAACACTGCGGGCTTCGGATGCCTAATCACTTGACACACGAAGGGTGAAGCGTGAGGTTGAGGTTGAATCACGAGAACACAGGGAGATAATGGAAGTAGGTCTTGTATGCGTGTTTCCGAGACAAAACAGATCTAAATTGAAAGTTTCAAGGGTTCTAGTTAAGGGAGTTTGTTGGCCAATCTGATAGAGTATGCAGATATTGAACGGAGCAAAGCGAAAACGGAATTCCGACTGCAAAAATCCTGTAACATCTGAATGTTTGGACTTGTTGGTAAAATGCTGAGTGATATTCGATGGGTCTTTTAAACAGCAGGCATTTGAGATTATTCGGGATTGAGAGAAAGAACTAGACAAATGGGAAGGAGGGTTTTCCAAATGGGTGTCTAAGACTTTAGGGCACGGCATACTTCGCGGTAGCCCAAATTGACGAAGGAGTTCTTCTTTGGGAGCCCTAACCGGAGCCTTTGACTCAAAATTCTGATCCACGAACCTTGCCAACCACCAAATAAATCTATTGTGCTTTAGCACAATGCTACACCACAAGCATTATATAATTGCGCAACAACTGGACGCGTGGTAGTAGGAGTGCTACTACTTCCATTATCTTACCTTTACGCAACAACAACCTTCCATCTTGAATGGCATCTTCGACTAGGGAATTGGGTGAATCCGCAGCAGCCACTTGGTCTGTTTCGATCCAATTGTCCAACAGTTGTGGTACGCCCAAATGATGCAGCACTCGGTCACCGAAACGCACGTAGGTCAACACGCACAACAGAACGACCAGGATGGGAAAATAGACATTGAATCCGCTCGCGATGAACGGGATCACATCCAAATGACCCATGAATCGAGTATACGTGGTCTCCAGATCCGTGTAACTGACACGCGGCACAGTCAGACTAGGATTCGATGACGGTGATGATGACGACGACTCGGAATGAGTGTTTTGCTCGCCACCGGCAATCACAGAATTTATCGAATTTGAGATCGTTTCCGGTACACTCAGAGTAGTGCGTGAGATATGACTGTCCAAATGGGCCAGACCAAGGAAATTCAAACAGAGCGAAGGCGTCAAGCGACAGAGCAGTCTGAAGGAAAAAAATAAAAGAGGACAGATCGAACAAATGATA